CATGTAGTTAATTTGCTCTATCTCCTAGGAGTCCCTGCAATTAAAGCCTTCTCTATAACTGTAAAATTAATGGCTTCTATCTGTTAAAAGAATTTTAGAGATAAGAAGGTGGTTAAGGAGTCTGAGAAAAGAAAGTCCCTTTCTGTACATACTAAATTCACAGTACAAGAGACCCAATTTCAGTGACTTTTTTATTGTCATTCAGAATAGCAAAACCTTATTTATTTACTCTATCTGGTTTAATGAGTCTGACATACTATCGTCAAAAAAAAAAAAAAAACAAAAAAAAACTTCAGAATATGAAACCCTCTCCCCATCTTTTCCTTTGTTTTCTATGTGGCTGCAATAACTCAATTTTTTTATTCAACTTTGCCTGTTGCCTGTATGACATCCTACTGCCTCCCTTTAAGGTTTTATCTGTTTGCCATTTTCTGACTTTCCCTTACTCTATTTGAGAATTGTATTTTTAAAATAAAAACACAACTGTTTAACTTAACTTTAACGGCAACACCCTTTTTTTTAACATGTCTTATAAGCCAGGCAATGTGTCAAGTGCTTTACATACATTAGCAAACATAATTTTCAAATTAATATCTCCATTTTATGATTAAATAAACCTGAACCTTAAAAAGATTTCATAATGAGCCCAAGGTCACATAACTGACAGACTGAAGAACTGAGACTTGAACCTAGGTCTATAGAGCATCAAAACTTGTGCTGCATAACTTAGCAAAACGTTTTCTGCTATCTGTAACAGATGTTTTACTGAATGTTTTACTAAGGTGCTTTCATTCATGTAAATATAGAGGAGTGCCCCACTACATATCTTCAAAACTTCTGTTGAAATACTTTTAACAGCTCCTTTCCCCTACTGTTTCTGAAACTGGAAAGCTGCATACAGTGCACTTTTCCCCCCCTTTACTTCCTCTCATTAAATGTCAGATTCAATCATGTTATGATTATTATCAGGTAGTGGTGCAGCCACAGCCATTTCCTGCCCAGTTCCTGTTCACTACTCAGAAATGAAGTCCAGCACTCTTTCCTTGTGCTCTAAACCTACCTGTTCTAGGAAGCAGTTGGTTTTTCTCATCTGAAATCTGATCTCTGTATTTTGTGTCATTTTTGGCAATCTGTATGAGGCTAACACGTTGGAATAAAAATGCACCTTTCCTAAATGTCATTTAGTATCTTCAATTTTGTCAAATAATTCTGGTCACGAAGTGATCTACATTTATCAATCCAATGGGAACAATTATGGTTCTGTGCTAACCTGAAGGGAAGATACATACATGGGACTTTTTCTCAGGTTTTGAAGAACAGTCCCAATTTAAAACGTTCTGTCCCACTCCCATGTCTCAAATTTGGATTCAGAAAAAGCAGTCAACATATGCAATGGATAGTTTGCAATATTGGCTCTATGTGGCTACATACTAGATAAAGGGGTTAAGGGAAGGCAACAGTCACTTTAAGATTCTTCTTTTTTAAATACTCCCAAAATACATCCCACAAATTAAGTGCAAATGCCTCTAGTGGTGTTAAGTCTTCCTTTACAGTTTAGAGTGAAATATCACAATGAAATAATGAAAGTCCTTAGCTGGACATGTTTGGAAATGAAGTTTTAACTGACAGTGGGGAAAATAAGTATTAAAAGGTAAATATTAAATAAAAATACAAAAATGCACAAACAATTTCCTATAACTTAAATATCTAAGTATGCAATTTCCAACCACCAAAATTGGGTAGTACTCACCTTGCCCAGCCACATTTATATACAATTATCATTTAAATTTGGCCTTCGCAAATACTTTTTATACAAAGCTACAATTACTTGCCATTCCTTCAACAATCCACATTCCTGTTCCAGGACCCTGCCTCCTGTTCTGTCTGTGTAGAATGCCCTCCTTCCCCAATAATGAAAACTACTACCCACCCTTTAAGGCTCCAGAGATAGCTCTCTGCTAAACCTCCAACCCCTTCTCTACTCTCTCTGAAAATTATTCCGTCTTCTTTATTCAGTGCTTACCAGTGTGTCAGTACTTTATATATTCTGTTTAATATTTAATATTCCCCTTTGAAGTAATATTCTCTCCACTTAACAGATAAAGAAGCTGAAGCTCAAAAAGGTTTGCCATCATGTTAAAGGTCATAAAGCCAAATAGGAATTAAAATGGTGGTATGTCTAAACTTCAACTGATTTCTCTTCTATTAAATCAAAGATTTATGTCACTCTCTTATAGTATATGTTGTATTTTATTATCATTACCTGTTTAAATATTTCTCTCCCCCACTATGGCCAGAGAAGATGACTCCATCCTTATATCCCCAGCAACACTCAACAGTGTGTACTATACAATGACTCAAAGTGTTACTGAACACCTACAATATTCTTATTCAGTTTATGATTTTGCAGCATTATTTTCCACTGATTAGTCTCCTTGTATCAGGTCTCTAATAAGCCCCTGTGGTGGTAAAACTTATTGGCTTGGAATGTAGGCTTTGTAATGATTGCACAGATTTGAATTCCAACTCCACCAACTTATTAGCTGAGAAATCTTGAACAAATGAATTAACCTAAGTTATGGTTAACTCATCTATAACACAGAACAATAATCACAGTACATACCTTATAGCATTATAAAGATTAAATGAGATAGTATGTAAGCAATCCAACTATTTTTCTATCCTCAATTTTTCTACATGCCACTCTAAATTTTCTTTGGCTTAGTTTAGTGAAGCCTTTTTCATTACAAATTCCTTGCAACTTTGTATCAAATGGGCTAGTAAAAAGGTTGGTGGTTTAAAAATTGCCAGGCAATGATGTCTGGCTGGCTCAGTCAATAGAGCATGTGCCTCTTGATCTCATGGTTGTGAATTCAAGCCCCACACTGGGTCTAGAGCTTATTTAAAATAAACAAGTAAGTAAATAAATAACAATTTTAAAATAACAAAATTAAATTAAAAAATTGCTCAGGCCACCTACTCCATTTTTAGCGCCAACTGTCCAGTGCCAGTTTGGACTCAAAAAAAGTTTATTCTGGGAGGTTTGACTATGCCAGACCTCCACTGTACATTATACTTTTTCCTCTTATTACATTTTCATGCCCTATCAGAAAGTGGTAAAAATTAGAAAAGACATTTCCTACCTGACTAACATCTAACTTAATACTATCCCATGCATGCACACAACTAAACTGTGTGGGAGGCAAGCTATTTCCCCACCAAGAATTTTTCCTGGAACTACCTTGTGTCTGGGCTCAGGCATGGCTCATTCTCCTCAGACCTCTAGATTCCTTTCCTCTGGTATCTGGAGACTGAGCCACTACAACTGACAGGGGACACCCATTTCCCTCTCTTCAACTTAGCAATGTTTACTCCAAGAAGCTAGAATTTCAAATTGTTGTGATAATTTACAGTTCTTTAGGCTAAAGTGCATAGTTTCCAAATTCTCAGAATTCCCCCTTACAACTTTAAAAACGTTATGAAAAAATCCAGTTTGGGAGGAAACAAATTTTTAAAAAATAAATGATCTCTAAAAACAAGAGCAAACACCATGTCTATACCGAAAGTCTTGGAGAAAAGAAAAATCTTAAAATGGCTAGTTGGCTAAAGCTAACCAAAAACTATAAAATCAAAGCACACAACAAAATAACCTCAAAGTAAGCAGGATATACCATAAACAAAGACAGCGAGTGTAAATTAAAAAATGTGTAATACATTCACGAATTTAAAAATTACTTGATATGTAAATGCTGACATTAATAAACTGTCCATATTCTGCACTCCCCTAGTCAGTATATGATATAAAGCAGTTCCTTTTTTTTTTTTTTCCTTTGGTCAGGCTAAAAATAGTGATGGATCTGTGACAGAATGATCTCCAAAGTTACACAAGGAAGGTGTTGAGTTTAAAAGTCATGACACGAAGGAATACCAAAATACTGGCTGTCAACATTAGATAAAAATAAGAAAAGGTAAAGCAAGCTGGTGGACCGCAGTATTGTTTCCAGAGGGGAAACAGCCCTTAAGGCCCCTGAGAGGTTTCAGCACCCGCTCCGTAGTCAGTGCTGGAATCAGAAAACTAAACTGTTGCCTGCTCAGTGGGTGCAGGGCAGCGACCCTCCCTCCAACCTGCGTCCAGCGCGCGCACAGTCGCCCTCTCCGCCCGAGCCCGCTCCTCCGGCCGCTAGCTGACCTCTCCCGCCAGCCCAGGCTCGGCCACCCGATGCCGATGCCCCTGCACGCCCTCCAGGACCCGACGCGCCCCAACACAGCGCCAGGGGAAGGAAGCGAAGGAAAGGGGCCGCGAGAGGGGGCGGAGGGGCGGGAGGCGGCGCTGGGCTTTGGCCCTTCACCATCGAGGCTCGAGGACTGCACGGGCTCGAGAGGAGGGAAGCTGAGCCTCTGCCACCGGTCAAATGATGGGAGGGGACCGCGGCTGACCCCGGCGCGCAGGTGCCAGCGGCTGCCGGGGAAGTCACCAGCGGCAGAGGGCGATGCGTTGGCCCGGAGCCCCCACCTCCATCCTGCCCGCCGCTTTCCTCTTTCGTCCTGCTCCATCCCCAGGATTCTGTCAGAACCCAACGACCTCCACACGGCCCGCCCAAGCACAGAGGTGATGCCGGCTCTTACCGTAGGAGCGGGCGCCGCGCCGCTAGGAGGCGGCTGGGGTGCGCGCGGGAGACTCCGAAGCGAGCGCCGCCGCCGCTGCGGGAGCCGGAGGAGTCACAACGAGGCTGCCGGCGGGAGCGCTGCCTCCAGAGCTGTCGCCCCACCCCCTCTCCCGCAGGATTTTGCGCCGGAGCCTGCAGTCTCCGCGCGCCGGCGGGGAGGGGGAGAGAAGGGGCGGGGCGCCCTCGGGGGCGAAGCCGAGAGCTGGCTGGTCTGATTGGCACTTGTGGGCCCAATGGGACTACGGACACTCCAGGCTGTGCTTAGACTGACTTCCCTCCTAGCCCGTAGCGGTAGAGAGGCGGGCCTAGTGGCTTCTCTTATAGCCGCCTTTTTGACAAACCCGAACGTAAGAAAAGATCGGTTGGTTCGCACTGGCGGCCAAATGGTCCAATTACCACAGGAAAAAAAGGCCTCTGAACTTAGATTGGCATCCTCTCTACCTATAGGTAGAGAGGGTAGTCCCAGGGGTGGTGAGAACCTGCCCCGGATGTGGGCGTGGCCCTGAGGTAGAACATAGAGCCTCCGCCGCGGTGGTTTGGGGAGGCGGAACTGAGATCTTTTTCTTGATTATCATGTGACGGGTTCTGGATTTAATGGAGGAGAAAGCGTGGAAAAGGCCAAGGATCCAAACTGGCGAGTTTTCTGATCTTCGCGCCCCATTCCGCTCTCCGGCCAGCGGCGCTGCCAGGTGAGTCCCGGGCTCCAAAGGGCCGGGCCAGCAGTCTCCCGAGGTGCCTTTGCCCTGCCGGTGCCCCGGTGCTGGCTTCCCGAAGCCTCGGGGGGTTAGTCTCTACCTCCCACCCCCTCCCACTCCCAGCCAAAAGGACTGACACCTGCTTGGCACCAGGCTTCTGCGTGCGTTTTGGATCTTGTGCAGGAAACCTCGTTCAACTCTCAAAATGTACGGGGCCGCCCAAAGCGCAGAATGGGAACAGTCCGGATAGGGCGGACCGTCAGTGTTTGAAGACTAAGGGCGAGGAGAGTTTAGGAACATCCTGAAGTTATAGGAACAAGTAGGCCCGAAAACCATGTAAGTTGTAAGCAGAACGCTGTTCCTCTGAAGGAAGGTTAAGTTTTCCAAGGCTGTTGCAGCAGGGGCCTTTCAAAAGCTACTCGTTATTTAGAGGAATTCTGTGTTGTGGGCTCATAAGCAAAACTGTCTTTTGGGATGAGGCGAGTTCATTTGGAAGAGGATTGGCGGTAGCGAGAGAAGGAAATGGGGGTGGTGTGGGAAGCACCGTGGGCAAATCAATGCCTGCACACACAACTGATAGACGCTGGAACTGTGGGCAGAGCCCTTTCGATTTCCATTTTGGGGCGATGCAGAACGTTTTGACAATGAATGAGGAAGCATATGAACTAATAATTATCTTCCTAGTACCCGAAGTAACCACCTAAAATGGGATTTCAGTAGAGCAAATTTTTGTTTTGGAGAAGGCAACCCCCTCCCTTGAGGAGAAAGAAGAGTAGTAGTAGGAAACAAATAACGATTGCTTCAATTAGTGAAGATTTACGAATAAAGTAAAATTAACGTTGTAGCTCAGCATCCAGAATTCTTAAAGCATCATTTAAATATCGACATAGCGCTTTTCAGTTGAGGGCATTTTAGTATAAGTGCATACAGAGCTTTTGTTGCATCCCACATTATAAAACTGGAAGCCTTAAGACTGTGCTGTATTTTTCCACCTCCAATCCTAACGTGCCTGTGTTGAGTGCAGCTACCCTTTGACCAGGTGCTTACTCAGTCTTAACATGCAAAAATATGAACCCTAACTCATCCAATGGCTAGTGGAAAAGTGTGTTTAAGCAAGTGTATTATTGTAAACTTTTTAAAGGTTCACAAAAATGTTCAGATAGACTGGGAATCAGGGTTGAGAAAAACTTGCTTTACAGCATGAAATCCATTTGTAGTTAATAATCAGTACACACCCTTCACACCTCTTCCAAATTCAGCCCATATCCCACTATGGCAGCCTCTGGTCAGGAAATGAGACCTAGAGAAAATGCCTTCCTTGGAGTAAAAGCATCTGCTTTTCATACTGCAGTATGAAGCATCTGCCAGCTAAGTAAATGAGTGCCAAAAGATGAGTATAAGGGGAAGAGGGGTGTTTGGAGATCCATTAAGTCATTATTGTAATAAAACAGATATATGTTCTTGCCCTATGATAGCCACCCATTGTTTAAAGTAGTAGAGATGTAGCAAAGAATATCAAAGTTCTAAAATATAATTAATTAAACATGCTAGTTTAGGGCATTTTTTATTTATCTTATTTTCCTGCATTTTTCTTATCTTCTGCATTTCTAGTCCTAGCTCTCATGCTTTTGCCATCTACCCCACCACCTTCTGATCCTTTCCTCTTTCCATCAAGTATCCTCTCTCAATCTATCACTCCTCTGTAGCTTATTTCCCTCAGCTTATAATCATAGATTATTCCTTTACTGAAAAATTTCTTCTTAACCCTTTCTCAGGCTCATTATTTGTCTTATCTTTCATTTTTTTTCTCCAAATGTTTCAAAAGAATAAAATGTTGTCAGCTATTTGCATTTCGTTATCTTCTGTTAACTCCTTACCCAACTGCATGCAATCTGGCTTCTGATTTCCATTCTACTTACTCTTTATCCAAATGGTCACAACTTAAGTATAGAACATACTGTAAACTTGTATGTGAAGACTAAATGCTTATACCATATTATAGATTAATGAATCCCAATCAAAATTCCAATTTTTAAAGAATTAGTGATCTTAGTAGTGAAAAAATGAAAGGGCAAAATATTCTGGAAAAGAAATCCCATGAGTAGGTACTAAGCTTCCCAAATATTAGAGCATATATCCTGGAACATATCCAATCATAGTTATATAGTACTAGTGCAAAACAAATGTAGACCAGTAAGACAAAATAGAAGTATAAGAAATAGCTTCAGGTTGCCTGTCCGAGTCCTGAAGTTCAAGCCCCACAATGGGCATAGAGCTTACTCTAAGAAAGGAAAGAAGGGACTAAATTATTGAATAATTTGGCATCCTTTGGTAACAAAATGTCAAAAGTTTAAGTGGTCTTGATTATTGGATAGCAAATGATAAAAAATCATGATCTATACCACAAACCAAACAATATATAATTAGTATTAAAAAGAAAAATTCAGACTAATAGCTATTTATTAAGAATTGCAATGAGAAAGTTTAATTTAAAAAATATAAGACCCATAGACTAAACTATGTGAAAACCCAGTATTATCAACGTGTTCTATATTATTTTAGCCCAATGACCTCTTTACTTAAGTAATTCTACTTAATATCTTAATTTTTATCATTCCCTCTTTATTAAAACTTTCCTCCCTTGGCCTGATACCACTTCCTCCTTTTTCACTACTTTGATTTTGAAAGCTTTTTCTTAGTACATCTCCAAATTGAATGAAAATTTATAGATGTACAAATGTATAAAAAAGAGGTTAAGAATATCCCTGAGATGCAGGAATAAAGTCATGAGTACTTGGAATTGAGTGACCGCAAATGAAAAGGAACAGACTATTCTTGAGACTTTTGTATAGAGCTTATGCCCAGTTGATATACTAAAAATTTTATTGTATTTTGTCATAGGCTTTAAGGAATGATGGATATAATGTTGTCAAAGATGGCTACAAAATTTTACAGGTTTTGAAAGGCAGAATAGGATTTTTCAAAATTAGGAAATCTGTGAGTGGGGGAAGAACCAGCTTTGTTCACCAGGAATGGAAGTGATTTTTTTTCTGGTATCAAAACAATCTTGACTTTTTTTCCTTCTCTTAGGGTATATTTCCCTTTTTTCGACTCTGCAACAGCCTCTTTAAACTGTTTAAATGAGAATGTCCTTGGCTCAGAGAGTACTACTCACCTGGCTTTTCACATTACTCTTCTTGATCATGTTGGTGTTGAAACTGGATGAGAAGGCACCTTGGAACTGGTTCCTCATATTTATTCCAGTCTGGATATTTGATACTATCCTTCTTGTCATGCTGATTGTGAAAATGGCTGGGCGATGTAAGTCTGGTTTTGACCCTCGACATGGATCACACAATATTAAAAAAAAAGCCTGGTACCTCATTGCAATGTTACTTAAATTAGCCTTCTGCCTTGCACTCTGTGCTAAACTGGAACAGTTTACTACAATGAATCTGTCCTATGTCTTCATTCCTTTATGGGCCTTACTGGCTGGGGCTTTGATAGAACTTGGATATAACGTCTTTTTTGTGAGAGACTGACTTCTAAGGACATCATCTCATTTTATTGCTGTTCAACAAGCTGTCATTAAAGTGTTCTGAATCTTTGCAAGCTTGAAGAAATACCAGAGAACTGAGAAAAATAACCAAATGTAGTTTTATACTGCTTCCATAAAATAGTCTTTGTGAATCATGGACTTCTAGTCAATCCAAAGCTTAATTATTCAGTATTTGAGTTACTAATATCCTTATTATCCCTATATAAATAAAGTTTGTTTTTGACCTTATTTTTATACTTGACTCTTGAATAATCTGTTATAAGTATGTGGTCAATTCTTAAAGTAAGTAAACACAAAGTCTTTAATCTACATTATTTGGGTAGGAGTTTAATAGATCATGGCCCCATTATGACCAATGTAAATGGTCATTTGTGCTTGTAATTATGAACAAAGAAACCTAGTTAATGAAATACTTAGGTGTGCCACTTCCATGTTTACATTCAGAATCAGAGTTTGAGAGATTTTTATCTAGGCTAACTGCATTAACTCTCTCTCCTGTTTATGATCCATGAATTAGAGGTGGCATATTAGAGCAGAGGCTTGCCTCTTTTTAAATTTAGAGGGGCCTTTTATCCTGGTTAAATCAGGACAGGCCTCATTTATGCCTGCTGTCCTCAGTCTCAGGAATTTAGTGCCCCTTTCACTCTTAGAATATCCTGGCTTGAGAATTTATAGATCATCCTACCAAGGCACTTAACCCATTCCAGTGAAGCATAGGTGACATTACTTAGAAGAATTCCCAACAGTCTTAAGTGTATTATAACCCTAAAGCAGGTGATTGTTCTCACCCTATACAGCCTTCATTTTTAGCTTCAGAAAGAACCTAAAGTAGTATTTTGTCTTAAAAAATATCTAACACACAAAGTGATTCCTGGCTGCTAATACTTGAGAGGATTGTTTTGAATATAGCATTTTGGTCTAGTTCTCCTTTGTAAAGCAGATGACAGTTTAAGTTATAACACCACAAATTAATGTAGCTTATGAAACTACAGAGCTAAGCTAAATAAAAATTATCAATTACAAGCATTTTGCTGTCTTATAATTGGTATATATTCTATTTTGAGCATCAAAAAATAGGGTGGAGAGGGATAGTTAATATGGGGAACATAATGTTCCAGAATTGATCAGGTATTTCTAATTCAACTGAGAGATCCAAACCATTTGGTCTCTCTAATGATAGATTCAAAGGAGAAAAAAGTTTTCATCTCTTTGAGAAACCAGATAGGATTTTGAAATTCGGCAAAAGCTGTATTTGTGCACGTATTATCTCTCAGTATAATCTCTCACAGGGAAAAGGAAAAGAACAGCACCACATGCAAACAATTAGCTAGGTCAGGAGTCAGCAAAATTTTTCTCTAAAGGGCTATATAGTAAATATTTTAAGCTTTGTGGGCTATGTGGGTCTGTCTCAACAATTCAAATCAGCTCTGTGGCAAACAAGCAGCCATAAACCATGGCTATGTTCCAATAAAACTTTATGGACAATGAAATTTAAATTTTGTAAAATTTCCACATATCACAAAGTTACTATCCTTTTGACTTTTGTTCCACTTACTCAAAACTATCCATTCTTGCCTCACAGCCATTCAAAAAACAGACCCCTAAGCTAGGCCATGAAACAAGCAAATCTCTGTATGAGATTTTCTAAAAGAAAAATATGGGACAAGTCTCAGAGGATGAGAAACTAGGTAAGAAATATATCTAAAAGGCCATGTAATAACCAACCTGTTGACCCATGAGGATCAAGTAATTGTATCTGAAAGGTTCTCAGAAAGTAGAACTTTCTTAACTTGGTATACTGACACCATAAACGAACAACTTGAAGCAGCACAGTAAGTTATTGATGTATGCCTCCTTGATTCTGGCACCAATTCAGATGTGTTTTATCTCCATACCACCAAGGAATTAATTCAGTTCTGACACTACTTGGAAATCGTATCTCATCTCACAGGCTAAGGGTCCAATTCCAGCAGATGCCTCCTCCTCTCAAACTTCAAACTTCAGATACCAATTACAAATCCAGGTTGTTTCCTGTGCTTCTGACCTACCAGCATTGGATTGGATGTTCACATGACTCTCTCAATTTTGCTAGAGCAGCTCACAACTCAAAGAAACATTTTACTTATTACATTACCAGTTTATTATCAAAGGATGTAACTGAGGAACAGCGAGATGAAATGGTAAGGCAAGGTATGGGGAAGGGGCAAGGAATTTCCATGCTCTCTGGGCACACCACTCTTCCCCCATCTCCTTGTGTTCACCACCCCAGAAGCTCTCTGAACCCGATTTTATGGAGGCTTGACTACATAGCATATTAAGAAAATCAATGGCCAATGGTGACAGAAGTCAATCTCCAGTTCCTCTCCCCTGGAGTATAAGGACAGGGGGACTGGAAGTTCCAACCCTTTAATCACACGGTTGTTTCCCCTGGCAACCAGCCCCTATTCTTAGGTTACCTAGGAGTTTTCCAAAAGTCACCTCATTAAGTTCAACAGACACCTTATTACACTTAACATTTAAGTTCCAAGAGTGTTAAAATTCCTGTGCCTGGAATAAGGATGAAGATCAAATATGTATTTCTTATAAATCACAGTATCACAGCCTCAGTGGTTGGGATACATTTAAAATATTAATTAAAGATAGGATGGAAACTATGCTCACAGAAAAAGCAAAACTAATGGAATAAATAATATGAAGAAAAATACCTTCCCATTTGTTTATAATTATAGGCTATTACCTTTATAATATAAAGTTGTTTACTAATGGTGTTTATAAAAAGAACACACTCTGCCTTAAGAAACTTAAACATGAAAGTATGCAACATGAAGTTTCTTCGTGAAGTCAGTATTTTCCAGGTCAGCATGGACAAGAAGTAACTTAATCTGATTTGGGGTGAAAGATTTATCAAAAATTCTGAGTAAAAGCAACTTGTGAACAAAATAACTTTTTATAAGACTTGGAAATAGAAAAAGTAGAAAATATGAAAGAATGCAAAACTTAATTCAGCAATATTTCATTAACACAGAGGATGGGTATGGTGGTACAATCAACTTACCACATGAAACATGAGCCCACCAATGGAGGGCTTTCACGCACCAAGAAAAATAGTTGTGCAAAGCTTTGAGAAGTAGAGATCCGTCCGTGCGCTAAAGTTTACCGTAATTTTAAAAGTTATTAACCTTATGAATTAGGCTGTTTTCCATTCTGCTTTTTCACAGTGCAGCAAGTAAGAGAAACTGATGTTGATTAGTTAACAGAAGTAACGGTCAAAAAAGAAGAGGAAACCATAGAACCATTTTCATATGGGGCAGGCATGTTATTATACACCTGTGTCATCAAGAAAAGAATAGTCATTTCTCCTTCCTGAAGACAATCAGAGTGCTTTTAGTATTATGTTAAGAACCCACAAATTACAAAAGGAGTTTCCTCTCATCTTGATTGGTCACGTTTGCACAGTAAATGTCAGTCGATCTCAAAGTATTGTTGGTGTTCCTATAATTCGTGACATAGATAGTGAAGGTACACAGGAATTACAGTGTTAGAACCAAGAAAAAAACCACCTCATTACAATGACAGAAAAACTAAAGCACAGATGAATGAAATGTAAATCAGACCATGGTCATTGATAAATGGAGAAGTCTAACTCCAAATGCTATTTCCACAAATAGGTTTGCTATTGAAAAAAAAATAGAAAGTTATCAGCGGAAGATGCATACCAGTTATCAACTGCTAGGTAAGGTAACCCTGGGTTAAAAGCTTTTATGAGAGGGATCTACTTTACACTTTAATGTTTTACTCTCATTTTGCTTGCCCTATGTTCAAGTTATCATACTATAATCATACTGGTAATCTTACACCTCAAAGTAAATTTACTACCACTATCATGTAGATACCACAAACACAAATTTCTAATCAGGAAAAGGCAGTCTGTGACAAGACAGAAAAAGCAGTCTGTGACAAGACATGATTTTGAATTTCCGGCTCTGGGCAAAATAGTGAACTAGGAATAAGTTTGTTTTGGTATCTCCCTAACCTCTGCCACAACCTCACCTTGATCCCTTGATAAACTTTTTCCTCTTCCCAGATACCTATCATTTGCCCAAAATTAGCAGTATACAGAGAAGAGATCATTAGTGAGAAAGGCATGAAATGATTAGGCTGACCCAGAACATAGCTCTTCTATTCTTTTTACTATGTTAATTCCAGGATCAGAAGCTAACACTTGTAGTGTCTACAATATATAAATCAATGTGCTACGTAAACATTTGGCATGTTGTCATTTAATTCTCACCACAAATTAACAGAAAAGGTATTTCTCCCCACTCCGCCACTTTACATATGAAAAATACAAACTAAGAAATTTCTCAACATTATACAAGTGTATTATTCCCCCTTGATAGCTGCTCAAATGCCCTCAGCATAGTATCATACTAGTGAAGTGGGTTCACAGAGGGTCTGTGAAAACGTGCCACCTTTTTGTCCTTGCCCCACTCCTGCAACAGAAGGATATAGACTAAAAACACTAGTGCATCTTATCACCTTCAAAATTTTCAATTTTTGAATATTTACAGTATCAATAGGGAGACTTTATCTTGCCAAGCAAGACTTAGCAACAGTTAAAAATCTGCTTCAGACTGCTTCTTATATGATTATTTGCAATTTTAATCATTTTAGGTCTAGTTAAAATCTATCCCTAATTTGTAATGAATGTATGCCTGGTTGAAGGAAAAAAGTTGGATTTTACAGGTTTAATGATCTTTACAATATTTACTTCCTCCACATTGCTCAATGGGCCCAGATATTTAACAGGTCGCTTCTTACACTTTATTTGTAAGACCATAGTACAAAATAGAAACTTGGTCTCTTTATAGTGCCTGCTGATCTAATTTTCCTCACTTTTCTTTCTATTGCAATTCTGGAATTACATTATGAATTAGAGTCAGAGGCAGACTTTTTAGTAGAAATCTACATAATTTGTTTTTCCCACTCCCAGTAAAAGTACAACAGTTAAGGTTCCTTCAAATATTTATTGAATACCAAGTGTATATATTGGATGTTGAGGATACAGAAGGAAAAGAAAATGTAACTTCTAGCTTATGGTTTAGCCAGAGCCCAACATGTACTTAACTAATAAGTACACTAAATAATATGCACAAAGGAACACAAGAAGCAGAGGGAAGAAATGGTTCTACACCGACTTTGGGATA